TATATATATTGTAGCGGAACAAACAGATTCCGTTGTTTGTTTGTTTTTTTACCGTGTTTTTGAGCGTGTACTCTGATGTGATGTTGTCGAGCTCCTCGATGGTGAAGGTAGACAGGTCCAGACTGCAGCCGTGACACTCCTCCACACTCCACTGGTGGTAGTASTCCCTGTTGGCTGCAAACATTTCACACGCCTTGGTTAGAGACACGTTTATCCAGAAACAATCCATCGTCTGTTAAAACACGCAGCCCCTCACCTCGGACCTGTCGGACGCACTGAAGAGCGTATTTGAGCGCGCTCAGGGTGCTGGAGTGCCCCTTGGCTTTGCGCTCAGGTGGGAGGCGGAGCTTCAGCTCCTTGATGGCCTTCATTAGCTCTTTCTGGGTCTGGAGCCTCGCCGACTGGTTGCTGCTGCAGCCGGAGGTGGAAGGGGGGTCGTGCTCCGAGCTGTTGGACAGCAGGCTGTAAGCCAGGGAGCTGTTGGGGGGCGACAGACTCTGGAAGTTGGAGCTGGACAAAAAAAATAAATAAAAATAAAATATATATGCAGACACACAATTTGTTAAATCCAGATACTTTTGAGGAGCCAGGCTTTCATTTTAGCTGCTTTTTCCACTCATTTTAATCCAGTACCTGACCGTTTTCACTTTTATTTTCGCTTTTAAACAATGAAGCTCTGATCTAGGCATCATTCATACATAAAAACACATTTTGTACAACCAGAACCTTCAGGAAGTCTGAAAAACCATTAGGATTATTTTAAAATACTAGCAGAAAGTCTGACTTCGTGGAAGCAAAATGCAGTAAAACTAAAGGTGGTTTACTGTGTTTTGCACAGTGCAGGAAACTGTGTACATCTATGGTTTTATCGTTACTAATTCAGAGAAAATCAGTGGAAAAATGACACGAGTTTCCAGGAATCTGCTGAAGATATTCTGTGCAGCATGCAGCAGCTTCAGATGCTGATACTACTGATAAAAACACGGTGAGGTCACAGGACTCGAAACGTTTCTGTAGAAACGTAGATTAAATCTGAATTTACCAAGTTTAAACATATTTTGATTAAATATTTATGCAATTATTTTAATAACTACAGCAGAGAATTATAAACACATAGGAACTAATTACAGTGATGGCATCAGTTTGGGTTTCAGTGAATTTTATTAGACTCTACAAAGTAATCTGCTGATAATTTTGCAAACAAAGACAAAATTTGCTCTAACACACTTGGAGTATGAGTTGAGGATGATTCTTAGCTAGTACCATGTTAAATATTAGCATAATATCTGCTGAGTTAGTTAAGTTAGTCATTTTTCCACAGCCTTTTATGTGGCCCACGAGAGCTTCAAAGATGTATAAATGTCTTAAAATAAGTGAATGCTGCTTTAAAGCCAGCATTGAACAAACCTCCTATAATGCATGTTGATTTTTTTACCTGCAAAATGATGGCATCCCACCACTAAGTGGAGGTGCACAGGGTTCAAAAGTAGCTGGTGGAATTTGCCATGAAAAATCTCCATTTAGATGCATTTTCGCAGCTACTTTTGCTGTGGCTTAATTGTACTGGGAAGTAGGAATTTCCCACTTACAAGATGAAAATTTAAAATGGAAAACCTGCTTCAGTGGGAATTCCCTGTCAGAAAGTGGGAGAGTTCAGAATTCAAGATGGCAGCTGCTCAACTTTTACTTTTAACAGTATTTCTGTAATATTACACGTAGTACTTTTCAGTGTTTATAAAAGGACGTGTTAAAACACTGTTTCTATGCAGGAAATACCAAGGAGAGCTCAGTTATTGTTTGTTAGMTCAGCTCAGATTCATGTCAAAGTTAAACACAAAGCATTGAAGTTAAATACAGCTGGATCTGAGGTTTACCGTAATCCTCATGTGGCCCTCAATGAAAATACGTTTAACCAAGTCTTTCCTAATATTCCCAAAGAATTTCCTAACAGCTGCACACACACTCACTGATCAGCATCAGAACATTAATTTTAGGTTCAGAAGTGCTTGAACGTGTCAGCAGAACACTAAGAAAACATAAGAAGCTCACGCAGCCGTTCTCCTCGTACCTCTTGTGGCTCTCTGTGGTTTCCAGCATCATGCCGGAGTCCTTCCCGTTTGAAGAGCTGTGACTGTGGGAGCTGAGCGTGGACTGGTGTCCACGGGACGTGCCCCCCCTTGCCGTCCTGCCCTCGCTGTCCCTCTCCCCAGAGTCGTTCCCGCTGGACAGTCCGTCCATGTCGTCCGAGTTCGACCCCCTTTGGTCTCCGGACAGACTTCCGGATCCCGACCCCGTTGTGGGCGACGACGACCCCCCTCCGGCTGCATTCTCCTGCTCCTGACTGCCGACATCGGACTGCTCGCAGATGGACACTTGTGCGTTTATCTGCAGCGACTCTGCCTGCAGATCCTCCTTCTYGCTAACCCCGGCCTCTCGCACCCGAGTGCTGCTGCTGGGCGTAGACGTGGAGCTGTCATAACTCATAATAAAGTAGAACGGCTGGACAGCTCGACTGGAGCAACTCAAAGTTAAGTGGGACTACTGTGTAAGCACATGTGCACCATGGTTGCAGGTAGAAAGAAAAGAAAAGTGAATTCTTGTTTTAGGAGTTTCGAGTAGCGATCCCTCCTATTTGGATGTATGTTTTAAAGCCTCACAAATATCTAAAAGCTGAAGCGTTGTTTTGGATTTTGTGGAGAAGAAGTGTCACTCAAAGTCGCACAGACAACAGATGAACTCCTTGTTATGAAACAGCCTTGGCATACGTGCTCGAACAGATGGGACGAGCGATGGAGAGGCAGGGTGAGAAAACCAGCTCTTGGCGAGGGCAAAGAAAACAAAACAAAAAAAAACTCCTTTAACTCTTCTCTGGTCTTCTCGCCTTCTCAGAGATGTGTTGCTCTTGGTGCTCAAGGCCACCTAAAATAAAGAAATAAAAAAA